CTCCGTGGGAGATTATCTTAATAAGCTGTCTGGACAGCTGCTCCTGCCGCAGAGCCGTGCCCTGCCAGCTCCGTTTGCTGAAGTTTCATTAAATTTGTTTTAATGCCTCGTCTGATTTCAGTGTTCTTCAGTGACCTGGTTTTGAAAAGAAACAGCATTTCAAATAGTCTGAATAAATTATTGCCATGTAAAACCCACTATAGGGAAGAGTTGCTGAGATGCAGGGACACTGTGAGCTCAGCAGTGGAGAACCAGAAAGCAGGTAGCACCCCACTGAAGCCGGCCGTGGAAGAGGAAGCCTTTCCTCACAGCCCAGCTCTGGGAGTCAAGAAACAAACAAAATCCATATGCACATATGTGTGCATTTATATGGATGTGTGTGTATACATATGCCCATGTGTGTATACAAATAAGTGTGGTGTATGTGTGCATATGAGTATGTGTAATATATATATATATATATATACATATATATGTGTGTGTGTATGTATATGAATGTGTGTGGTTTTGTGTATGTGTGGTGTATATGTATCTGTATGTATATGCATGTATGTGTGTATATGTATGCATATGTGTATATGGATTATATATATAGTTTATATGTGTATATATGTATGTATGTAGGTCTGTGCATGCAGGGTGTGTTTCTGGTATAAGTTAGCCAGAAAATACTCAAGTCATCTTTACATATCAATGGGTTAAATTATTTGGAGAAGGGAAAATAAAATTGCTTCATAAAACTTCAAGGTCACAGTCTAAGGAAATTCTCCCTTCTAAGTGAGGAAGATTCAAGCAGTCTGTGAGTTAGACAATCTGTTGTTCATTCCTGACATTTGTCTTTCACCCCAGATGAAGTGATATCCTAATGTTAGCTCACTTGAAATCTGAAGCATTTTCAGGTGATCCAAAGCATCAAGTTTCTAGAATAATAATCTATTCATCACTTAAAATTTTTATGAGATTTAATGGAACTTAGTGAAGATGCTCTGTGTAGTGTTCTTTAAAAAACAGTGTTTTGAAGTTTCGGGAGAACTTACAGGCTGATTTGAAGTTCTGGGATCCAGAACTGTTAATATATAACTAATTTTAATGACAAACCAATTTTGTAATAAATGGAGCTTGTCCTTATATGAGAATCCACACTTAAAAGTGAAGTCACAGGAGCTGGAGAGATGGTTCGGTGGTTAAGAGCACTTACTGCTCTTCGAGCACCTGAGCTCGGTTCCCAGCATCCACAGCAGGTGTCTCACAACCTCCTGCAACTCCAGTTTCAGGGGATTCGACTCCCTCTGCTCTCCACCAGCACCTGCATACAAGTAAGCCCACACAGGCACATACACATGAAACTAAATAATCTTTTAAAACGTGATATTCATGGTTTAAATTCTCATATCATGAACCAAGAAGACATCAGTAATTGGAAACATTTGTCATTAAGATGGCTTCATGTCTAGCTAATCAAGTTAGTGTCCAATAGGGAAAGGCCACACAGTGAGCAGGGCTGTCATTGCTGCTTGCAAGGCCCCTTGTCAGGGGATGAATCTAGAAGCCAAAACTAGGTTATGAAATTCTGTACTGTGGTATAACCAGTAAGAAGTGGAACACAGCTGAATAAAGGGTCCAGGCCTGGACAGCGCAGCCCACAGAATGGGGAGCTTCTGTGGAGTGTGAGAAGGTGAGGCTGGGGAGTTGAGCAATAGGTGGTGGGTTCTTATCCCCAGCTAGTACATTACCCCCTAGTCCAGAAGGAGGACTTGGAGAAGTGGGATGGACCACACGTCAGAGGCCTGCATCCTCACGCTCCATCCAAGCAGAAGAGCCTGCCATACTCAGCGGCCCTGGAGCAGGGCCTATGGGAAAGCTAATTGCACAGTGGGACTTGTGAATGGATATCAAAAGCCTTCTGCAATAATTTTTAAGCCCTCTTTAAATTGATACGTGAAGCATTTTGTGTAAGGTAGTTTTATGAAGTATTTGAATAGCTATGTCCTAGAAGGGCTTTCAGCTATAAAGATGATTTAAGGAAAAGCACTTTACTTCATAATATAGTTTTTTCCTTCAATCTCAATATTTTATTGATCTTATAATATAAAAAATGTTCCTATATAAATCTTAGTAATTAACGCCATAAAGCCATCTCTATGCATTCACAGCAAAATGGATAATTGGGATAATTAGGTAATTTAGAAAAAATACTTTGTATAAAATCTATACACACACACACACACACACACACACACACACACACACACACACACTTTTCCGATCACCTCTATAATTGTCTTGTTTTTTCCACCTGGAAGTGTAGACACTAGGCTCAGTCCACAGATGATACATGGGTGCATTATACGATTGTTACTGCTCAGTTTGAACTGTGAGATGTTTCATCTATTGTTCACATCATAAACTATGTTATTTCCATTTAATTTGCTCTTCTGTTTCCATGGTAATTATGGTGTGGGATAATGGGGGAAAAGATTTATCTCAAGATAAGTAAAACCAGGAAACATTTGTTTGCTTCTCTACGCCAATCTGCAGGCACCTAGCACGATGGTTTGTGCCATTTGTATGCACAGACTTAAAGAAGTCTGGACTGGGCTTGGGATGAGAACAGAAAAATACAGTGTGGGTTTTTAAATTGTATCAAAACATTGCTTTGAAAATGGTCAACACCTGTGGGAAATCTGGGTTATTAGTAAGGATAAATAGCTTTCATTTAAAGAGATTTTTATGTTTTCATAGTCTTTGATGATTTGATTAAACTTAAGCCCCATTTTCATGAAAGACATTTATTTAGTCAAACAGGCCAGGTGGGATAGTCTTTGGTCCAATTTTAAGGGATGTTGTTTTGTTCCATTATTTGCTTATCTGTTCAGTGGGTTTTTTTTTTAGCTTACATTTTCCACCCAATATTTTAGCACAGACAATAAATTCCATAGTGTGCTTTGCATTCTTGTTGTGGGGTTCAACTTCAGGAAAACTTGGACTTGAGTTCAAAGTTACCAGTTCCTAGCAATTTATTCTCATTTTTAAAGTAAACAATTGTTTTTAGGGTTGTGAGAGTCTACTCCCACATTTTGAAGGGTTCTTAGGTGGAGGAGAGAGGAATGAGGAAATATCAGATAAAGATAGACCTAGACAACGAAAAGAAAGAGACTCAGGATAGCTTCAGGAGGTCCTGGGTCAATACCCAACAGCCTCGCCCTTTATTGAAAAGGGCTTTTTATAATATGCCAAGGGGAGAGGCAAAAGACTTCCCCCTTGCAAGATCAAAGCATGCTGTACAGCCAAGTGTAGATCCTTCCAAACACTTGGTAAACATGCCTGTGGCCAAATCATCTCCTTGCACGGCCCTACTGGGTAAAGCAAGCTGAGATTTTCTGACCCTGAGTAAGTTGTCACTAGGAAGCCTCTGTGGGCTCCCTGTGGGCTCCCACACCAGGGTTGACCATTTGGTACTAGATAACCAATTGGTGTACTCTTCCCTGGGGAAGACTATTTCTCCCTCTTAGCCTTCCTTAGTTGCCTGTAGTTCTTTGTGCAGAGTTGAGGCACCATAAGATTTTCTCCATCCACTTTGGTATGTCCATTGGTGTTGGCCTTATTCAGTTCACATTTGGGCAATCACAATGGTGAGACTTTCTGGGTGTAATTTCTGACATTCCTAGAAGGGACAGTCTCACAGCAAACTCATCCTCTCACTCGTACAATCTTTCTCCATCTTCTGCAATGTTCTCTGAGCCTTAGGTGCAGGAGCTGTATTGTAGATATATCTACTGGGACTGGGCTCCACAACTTTACATTTTGATTAGTTATGATTTTCTGTAATGGCTTCTCTCTGTTACAAAGAGAAGTTTCCTTCCTGAGGGATGAGGACTATGCTTATATGGGTACAGGGACAAATATTCCAAATGTAGTTGAAACTACACTGGTTTAGTAAAATTATGGGTTCTTCTCCAAGATCCATGACTCCACTAGCCTTGGGTAGTTGGTTGGATGTCTAGTACCAGGCATGATTATTCTCTGTTGAGTGTATCTTAAGTCCAGTTAGAGAGCTGTTAGTTATCACCAAGGCACTGCCGTACCTTTAGGGTTACAGTACCATTCTGCTTGTTGATGTGGTTCACAGGTGTCATGGCTGTGCAGGACTGCCCATTGCTTCAGTAACATTAGACAGACTGAGCTGTTTGTTGTTAGGAATATATAAGCATATCTGTACATATATATGCATGTAACAGTGGAAATAGAGACCATGAATTTGAAAGAGTAAGGAGGGGTGTATAGGAGGGTTGGGGGAGAAAGGGGAAGGGTTATGATGTTGTTATATTGTAATCTCAAAAGTAAAAGAAAAAAATGTCATACAATTAAAATAAATGATTGAAGTTGGACTGGTGACTCAGAGGATATAATCCCACATTTAGTGGGGCTGGGGCATCAGGGGAAGGTGAGGCACAGAGGCAAGAAAACTTCTAGTTCATGGACAGCCTGGGGAAACCCTGTCTAGGATTTAAAAAAATAAATAAATAAACAGAACTAGAATGTAGCTCAGTGGTAGGGCACTCATCTAGAAGTCTTTACAAGAATCTGCACTCATTTCCCCAGGACCAGAAAGAAAAAAAGGAAAAGAAAATGAATGGGTAAATAATTTAACTTTACATTTTAGTTTCTTCATCTGTGGTGATGTTCACCTTGTTGGGCTTTTTTGAAGATCAAATGGGCATCAAGATGACCCTGACCCTCACTGGGTGTCAAGAATGCAGCAGGCATCATGTTCTCCATGTTCTGCGTGCATTGACCCTGCACTTGTCCTAAGAACCCTTTCTCATAAGTGAGAGGAAAAGTCAGAGAACAAGTGACTGAGATGCCTGGGAGGGCGCCAGTGGGAAGCAGACAGTGGGAAGCAGACAGTGGGAAGCAGACAGTGGGAAGCGCCAGTGGGAAGCAGACTGAGTTAGTGAATCCAAAGGAACTGGTTAGTACAGAGATGTGGTACCACATACCCAAAGCATGACTTGTTACGAAAGCCTGTGAAGTGTAGCAGAGAACTCAAATGTTTCCCCCGTGGCAGCAGTATTCAGTGTTCAGATTTCTGTCAGATTTGCTTCAGTTATTTATTTGGCCTAGAATACAAAAGCACAACAAAGAATTAGGAAGGCTGAGACTACAGGACAGTAGACTGTCCTAGCAATCTTTGTGTTTTCTGCTTCATAATTCTGCATTCCAAGCTTTTAAAGGGAAGTTGAGATTATTTTAAAAAAAATTTTTTTTCGAAGAAATATGCCAACAAACTCATTCATTCAACTCATTCTCCTTAGCTGAACATCAGGGAAATCAAAACCTGCTACAATACACATGGCCTTTGGTGGGCTGTTGGAAAGAGAGTGGTCTCGTAGATTGGAATACTTGGTCCCCAGTTGGTGGAACTGTTTGGGAAGGGTTCAGAGGTACAGCCTTGCTGGAGGAGGTGTGTCACGGGGAGGAGAGAGCTTTGAGATTGGGAAGATTTGTGCCATTACCAGTTAGCTCTTCATTTTGTGGTTGTAGATCAAGATGTGAGCTCTCAGCTTTTCTGTCATGCTGCCATCATGGACTCCAACCCTTTGAAACCATAAGCCAGATGAAACACTTTCTTTTATAAGTTGCCTTGGTCATGGTGTTTTATCACAGCAATAGGAAAAAAACAAACCAGGATACTTAGGAAGACCATTGACATCCATTTCTTCTCTTTTAGAATTAGCCAAGACTGTGAGCTGAACAGATGCCCAACACCACCGATACCACCTTTGCCATTTCAGACCAAAGAAATGATAAGTCCCTTGGCTAGTGATGATGAAGTCTTCCCTCTGGTGAGTTTCTGGAAGCTGAGTTTTCCTTTAAGGGTAGATTATTCAATACTGAGACCAACACAGGGAAGGGCATAAGGGCTTAAAATGCCACTTCTTTCTCTTTTGTTTGTTTTGTGGTTTTGAGGTAAGGTTTCTCTGTGTAGCCCAGGCTAGCCAGGAGCTCACTATGTAGACCAGGCTGGTCTCAGAGATCCACTTGCCTCTGCTTCCAGAGTGCTGAGATTAAAGGTGTGTGGCACTACCTCTGAAATAAGACTACAGAGTGCTCTACAGGCCATTTGACCACACCTATCTCTAGAAGGAAAAGATAACACCCCATCAAGAATCCTGGCTATACTTTTTAGTTTTTTGTTTGTTGTGTTTTCATTTTTTAGAGACAGGATCTCACTTGGGCTCAGACTGACCTAGAATTCACCAGGCAGCCCAGGCTGGCTTTGAACTTACAGCCATCCTCCTGCCTCAGGTACTGGAATTGCAGGCATGAACCACCAGACCCAGCTAGATTTTAACATATAGTAGCATGTATAAACTGAACATGGCCATGTGCTGAGTCATCCCAGAGAACATTGATGTAAGTGCTAATGCCCTGAGGCAGAAAGGGTCAGCCCAGGAATGCAGATCACTTCCAGGGAGGAGAAAACTCTGCCCTCTCCAAAGTGCAAGGGACCCAGTGAGGTCTCACTGCAACCAAGAGGCTGCTTAGTGTCAGTGAGGGGTGGCACACCTCCTGGATTCAGCTGGCCCAAGAGTCAACAGAAGCAAGCTAAGTAGCTCCCGATGGGAGGGCCACTCTGCCACTGGGTCCATATATAATATCCTCTGGGGTTGCCAAGGACCGAAAATGGGACAGGTAACGTTGTCCATCTGCTAGCTGCTCTGTGTCGTCCTGGGCTCACAGGAAGGAGTAGTCTAAGGTTTATGCAGGCTCTGCTGTAGGAGACTCAGCCTCACACTGATCTTAAACATCTGCAACATGACTTTCCCTCTGAGGCTCATGAAATGCACAAGGCATTCTCCCTGCCAGAGATTTTTTTTTTCTAGAACAGGATTTACCATTCATCTGACCCCAGGGGCAGGATTTCTAACCTATCCTGAACCCACTATGGCACTCTCCTTTGTTCTAGGCTTGCCAGCCTTCTGTGCTGCCCGGTAATGGCATCAGGTTGCTCTATCCAAAAGCACAGAACTTCAGGACACATTAACTTACACTCTACATGGCTATCTCCGCTTGCCCCACACAACCTAAAAGCATGCCAAGCCCCTGAGTCTTGTGTGGAGCTTTGTTTCCACCCCTGGAGTGTGTGCAAATTTTCAAGCCTTAGGTTCCTCAGCTTCTCTAACTTAATACTTGTGTTAGTACACAGGCATGGTCTTTTGGGTGTCCAGATGGGCTAAGTCCATTGGAATTCACTATGACACATCATTAGCACAGGCTGGGCCAAACCTGGTGTTAACAGTGTCCATCACATGTAACAACAACTGCTTCTGATCTTCTTTGCCCTGGATATTTAGAAAGAGTGTGCCTGACCCACCAGCAGCAGACACTGCCTGTTCAAGGCTGTTTCCTTACACTCTGGTGGAGAGGCTGCACCTGGTGCAGAAGGTACAGTTGGGATTTGACCCTTGGATATGGTACAGGCCTCTGCTGTCACCTGCTGTGATCTGGAGTTTCTATAGATTGATGAACTAAACTTAGAACCAGGTTCACTTCCATAAAGCTTCATTCTTCATAACAAATAAAAAGTAAAGAAGAATAAAGGTGGCCAGGTGCATTGGTGCACACCAGGAATCCTGGCACTATGGAAGTAGAGATCCAAGTCACCCTCTACTACAGAGTGAGTTACCAGCAAGCCTGGGCTACCCAAAACACTGTCTCAAATAATAATGAAGAGGAAGACGGGTAGATAAAAGAACTAGAAAAGTAAAGTCTAATTTTTCAATAATTTTATGATGTTTAAATAAAACTAATGCCCTTTATTATGTAAATATACACTAAGCACATCACAAGCTGTGAAATACCCCCACACCTCCCAGCCAGGCACACTGGGCATCACTCAGATTTCTTCCACTAAGCCCGACTAGTGAGGGAGGACTAGTGGGGAGGACTAGTGAGGGAGGACTGCAGCACTAGTTCCATTAGAGAGAGAGAGAGAGAGAGAGAGAGAGAGAGAGAGAGAGAGAGAGAGAGAGAGAGAGAGCTCCTCCAGCAGGATGTTCTGGGCCAGCATCCTCCCTGCCTAACTCCCCTAGGCATTCAGCCCCTCCTCAAACCTAGCCTGAATCATATTTACCCAATCTGCTACATCTTCACTCCAGATCTGGGACTTACCTGTGTTCTGATTACCTGCCTTGCGAGTCAGCAAAATGTGTTCTGCCTGGGTTCCCTGGTACTTAGGTCCACCCTGGATTTGCAGCTGGTCACTTCAGTTTTCATTTCTAGAGCTCTTTAATGGTGTGGAGCCGAGATATCTCAAATCCGTGAGGGTTTTGTTAGCAGGGACTACACTGCAAGAGGAGGAGGACTCTGCTCAAACTTCGTCAACACTGCAGGGTTGACTGACAGGGAGGTGCATGCCTCTGACTTAAGGCTCTGCAGTGGCCACACCTTACATGACAGGGAGGTGCATGCCTGTGACTTAATGCCCTGCAGTGGCCACACCTCACATGACAGGGAGGTGCATGCCTGTGACTTAATGCCCTGCAGTGACCACGCCTCACATGACAGGGAGGTGCATGCCTGTGACTTAGGGCTCTGCAGTGGCCACACCTCACATGACAGGGAGGTGCATGCCTCTGACTTAAGGCCCTGCAGTGGCCATGCCTCACATGACAGGGAGGTACATGCCTCTGACTTAAGGCCCTGCAGTGGCCACGCCTCACTTGACAGGGAGGTGCATGCCTGTGACTTAGGGCTCTGCAGTGGCCACACCTCACATGACAGGGAGGTGCATGCCTCTGACTTAGGGCCCTGCAGTGACCACTCCTCACTTGTCTCCCTCTCTCCAGTCTCCACCAGATGTATCCTTCCCAGCTTCCCTGGCTACACAGCGCTTCCTGATGGAAGAAGAGAGACGGGCCAAGGAGCTTGAGAAGCTGCTCAACACACACATCGACGAGCTGCAGAGACACACCGAGTTCACACTTAACAAATACACCAAGTTCAAGCAGAACAGACACATATGAGCGCTGCACCTTTTCTGTGTGCTTCCTCTCCAGAAGGAAGAAAGGGGGAAGCTCCAGAGCAACACTTGCAAAGCAGGCTCATGAAACAGAAATCTGGTTCCGTCTCCACAAGTCAATCACTCTTCTGCAAGGCAGCTAGAAAACAGCATTTGTTCCAGAAAGCTGCTTGTTTCTGCATTTCACATACTAATTGTTCTGTTAGGATAGAATAAGCATGACTAGCCCCAAAGGGTTTCTCTCCTGTCTAAGGAACAGTTTGGGAATAAAAATGAATTATTTCTAATTTTAATCATGTATGCTAAAGTCCCATTTCCTGAGTAACAGGCAGCAAGAAAGGGAAGCACTCAACTCTAAACGTAAGGAAACTGAGTGCAGCCACTCTGTGCTGGGCACAAAAGCTCAAGGACTTCTAAAAGTGAAAGGTGTCTAGATAGATACATTGGACTATGTAAACACCCTAAGATTTGCTTCAGAAGCACAAGGACAGGCCTTTGCTGTTTCTACATTCACTTTTGTAGTGTCTCTGCCTTAACATCAAGCAGGATCCTGAATGTGCGCTGTGCACAGCCAGAGAGCCATGCTGCCACCGAGACACAGCACACACAGAGCACCACATTTCCTCTGTCTCCTTTGTAATCATCCCTGTTTGTAATACAATAAAGGAATGCAAAATTCAGGTTGCTTTACAAGTGTCCAGTTTCTACAGAAGTAATAGCAAGAAAATGAACAAGGAAATTCACATAACAAACATACAAAATGATAATCTGATGTCTTGTTCTTTAAACGTGGAATATACACACACACACACACACCCTGCCTGTACATCTGTATCAGAGCACACAGACTATGAAGAACCTCAAGGTAGGATACAGCTCTTGTAGTCTTCTTTCTTTTTAAAGAAATGGTGTCTGCACACTGAAAGAGAAGCCCTATGTCCGTGGATAACAAGTGTTGTTTTCATGTGAACTATACAAAATGGTATCTACTTTGGGAAGCATCGCTGTCTGCGCCTCTACAGCTCCAGACATTTCAAAAGCTTTCCATGGTGGTTAAGCTACTGTGAAAGTCCCACAGGCTGTGTGACTTCAACAGGATTTCTCAGTTTGGGAGGCTGCAGAGTCCCAGACCCAGGAATGGGCTGATTAGTCTGATGGCAGCCCAGTTCCTCGCTTGGAGACAGCCACTTCATTGCTGTATTCTCACATGAGGTAAGAAAAACAATTTCTCTCAGGTCTCATAAGGATGATAATTCATTACCTTTATGAGGCTCCACCCTCATATGGGCGATGCCTTCCTAAAGGCATCGCCCCACCCCCCCCACCCTCCGCCTACTCCTGATACATCTCATTGAAGGTTGGGAATTCAACATATAAATTTGAGGGAGATACATTTATGATATAAAATACCTTCTAAGGGGCTGGGAAGCCAGTTCAGTAGGTACCGTGCTTGCTTTATTACACACAGGATCTGAATTTGGTCCATAAAATCCATGTAAAGAAGCCAAGTGTGGTGGCTGCACTTGTAACCCAGTGCTGGAGAGGCAGAGACAGGCAGATCCCCTATTCACTGGTCAGCTAGCTTGGTCTAACCAGGGAGCTCCATGCCAACGAAAAACTCTGTTTCAAAAAATAAGGTAGAAGATACCAGAGGAATTGACCTTTAGCCACCACACATGTGTGCCCTCACACACACAAACACACCACAGCACCATTTAAACTTAAGAATTTGATGTTAGCAAAATGAGTATCCAAGGTGCCTCAATAAGAAAGAGAATTTGTTGCTTAATCATGAAGACCTGAGTTCAGATCCAAGTACTGATGTAAAAAGACAGGGCATGGCCATACACACCTGTAAGCCCCATGCTGTGTGGACAGAGACAGGGGGATCACCAGGGCTTGCTGACTGCCAGCCCAGCTCCAGGTTCACTGAGAGACCCTGTTTCAAGGGGATTAGGTGGAGAGTGACAGAGCAGGACACCTGATATCACCCTCTGCCCTCTGCACACACACAGGTACACACACATCCACATACATACTGTAACACAAATTTTAAAAGGTCTTATTAATTGAAAACCTGGAGCCAGATATTGGGGTGAAAACTGAAAGGTCAGAGAAACAGAACAAGTCACAGCTAACCTCACCTCCACAACTGCTCAGCTGATCCTGTTTCTTTAGACTGAAAGACTCTGAGTCCTCACCCAGAAGGGATCTCAGCCAAACCGCTTAAAAGCCTCTAGTTCCTGGTCCTCACACCTTATATACTTTTCTGCTTCCTGCCATCACTTCCCGTGATTAAAGGTGTGTGTCCTTCCCAAGCAAAGACATGAAATCTCAAGTGCTGGGATTAAAGGTGTGTGCCACCACTGTCTGGCCTCTATGTCTAATCCAATAGCTGACTCGGTCCTTTGATCCTCAGATAAGTTTATTAGGGTATACATACTGTGTATTGGGGTGGACAATCTATCACTACACACATACATCTGCAAAACAAAACAAAAGTATCCTGTAGCTAGAGTTTTCCTGCCTTGCCCACAGTCAGGACAAATCTCTCTCACCTGCCAGTCCCACAGCCACTCAGACCCAACCAAGTAAACACAGAGACTTATTTTTCTTACAAACTGTATGGCCGTGGCAGGCTTCTTGCTAACTGTTCTTATAGCTTAAATTAATCCATTTCCATAAACCTATACCTTGCCACGTAGCTCGTGGCTCACCGGCATCTTCACATGCTGCTTTTCCTGGCGGGCGGCTGGCAGTGACTCCTTCTGCCTTCCTGTTCTTTCTTTTCTCCTCTGTTAGCCCCGCCTATACTTCCTGCCTAGCCACTGGCCAATCAGTATTTTATTTATTGACCAATCAGAGCAACTTGCCGTACAGACCATCCCTCAGCACAACCAAGTGCAGACCATCTCAGACACCTGCACTCAGGCTCCTGTGTGTGCATCCTCTATGCGGACCTGCTGGGTAAAGCCACGAGGAACCCGAGAACGGGCTCCCACAGGACATACGGAACATCCCACAGCAGTATCCTGTAGTAAGCAGCATATACAGAGGAAAGAGTATGAATTTTAGAGTCCTGGCTTTCATCACAATATCACTTCCTGTAAGCAGGCAGATAAGGAACAGAGGTACAGTCAAAACATCGGAGAATTCCATGCCCTTAATGTGCCCACAAAAGCCCCTTGTGAGGAAAACCATAGGATTGGGGGTACTTTTCTGTTACTGACTAGTTTCTAGGCTGGGTGCCATGAACAGAGAACATGGGTCTAACATGCGTTAAGCCTTGAGGTGAATCCTGAACTGCACAACAGAAATAAAAAGGACCAAACCCCCAAGCAAATAATGAAAAAAGGTATGTCAGTGTTCTCCTTAGAAGACGGGAAGAAACTGTTGACTTAGAAATGGGGCCCTTGGCCAAACCACCCTGAAACCATCTGATCTTGTCTACATCCTGTACATCCCTAAAACAGACAGAAATGATCAGAAAGTCTAAACATACCTTCACCAAGTCCTAAGTCCTGGACCACTTGAGTCTCCTCAGGGTAACCAAGATCTAGGATACAGCATTCTCGGATGTCAGCTGTGTGGAGAGTGGGAGAGTGTGTCCTGAGACCCGGCCTCCATGTACCAGTGCATCAACCCATGAGCAGACTCGAGTTAAATCACCACTTCAGCACTCCGCTTAATATCAGCTTTCTCTAAACCATTTTTGTCTTGTTTTTTCTTAACAAGAGTGAGAACTTACTTTGCTTCGCATAAGGTAATTAATGGGCTGGCGAGATAGCTGAGCAGTTAAAGCCCATGCTGCGGGAGCCTGGCGACCAGGGTCTACTCCTCAGAGCCACGGAAAGGAGCAAGGAGGGGTCAGACTCCAGGAAGGTCTCCTCTGACCTCCACAGGCAAACTGTGGCGTGTGCAAGCCTGCACACACACCACGGATAATGGGAAATTTCCAACAATTAAGCCTCTCACTTATAGATTTGTGTTCCTTCAAGTGTGGTGACCTGCTGTCTTAGTCTGTTTAGGCTACTGTAGCAAAATACCTTAGACCAGATGACTTGTAAACACCAGAAGTTCACCCTTCACAGCTCCAGAGGCACAGGAGCACCCTGGGGACAGAGGCAGAAACCAAGGTCCTGCTCCTATCAGTCAAGGAAGGCCAAAGATTGACAGCAAACCACAGGCAGCTAGGAAGGAGGCCTGAACCCAGATTCTTCCTCACAGCACTCAGCAGGAACATATCCAGTCAACATCCTGATTTCAGATGTTCAGCCCTTAGGCGCGAGAGACAATGCATTCCAGCTGTTTGAGCCACCAGTCTGTGGCACACTGTTGGGGCAGCCCCAGCAAACCAACACCCTATCATATCCCTGAACTGGAGCTGGAAAAGCTGGCAATGTATCGAACCAAAAAACCTCAGCAAACCCCTCTCT